ATACTGATAATAATAATTATAATCATAATAATAGTAATAATAATAATTATGATTATAATGACAATAGTAATAATGATATGAATAATAATTATAGAAATAATGATGATGACAATAATAAAAAAGTAATAATAATGATAATGATAATAGCTATTATGAAAATGAAAATGATGATGATGATAATAATAATAATAATAATAATAATTATAATAGTAATGATAATAATTATAATTATGATAGTAATAATGATAATAATAATTATTATAATAGTAATAATAATAATAATAATAATAATAATAATAATAATAATAATAATAATAATAATAATAACAATGATAATAATGATAACCATGATGATGATAATGATAATGATAATGACAATAATAATAATAATATTAATGAAAATGATAATAACAATGAGGATAATAATGATAGTGATGCTAATGATGCTAATGAGGATAATAACAATAATAATACCAATAACAACAATAAACCAAATAAAATAAATAAATGAACAATAAATAAACAAACAAACAAATAAATAAATAAACAAACAAATAAATAAATAAATAGATAAATAAATAAATGAATAAACCAAATAGAAGAATCAATACACCCAATCTGCAATAAATCTCAGGACACTTTTAAAAAGTAATTTACGTCGAAGTCCTTTGAACCGAGAAGACCCTACAGTCATAAGATTTTCATCGTGATTGATATCCCGCGTTCCTCTTCAGTTCCTCTCGTTTCGTGTCTTCGCTTCTCTTGTTTTTTTTCTTTTATTCGCTCTTCTTCTAATTCTCTATTTATTTTCCTTCGTTTTTCTCTGTGTTCTGCTTATTCTGCAATTCTTCTTTTTCTTTGTCTTTTCTTTCTATTTGTTCCTCTTCTCTATGTTTCAGTCTTCTCCTCTTTTATCATTTTTTGTCTTCGTCTCCTCTGTCTTCTTCTCTTCCTTTTAATTTTCCCCTCTTATACCGTCTTTCGTGTCTTCTCATTCTCTCTCTTCTTTATCTTTTCTGTCCGCTTACCTTTTCTATTCTCTCCTTTATCTTATA